AAAAAAAAAAAACAACACTTAATTTTACTAAATTCATCACTAAACGAACTGACCAAAACATCTAAATACAAATAAAAGATGCCTGCTCTTCTGCTTCTTTCAACATCTTCATAGCGTCAAAATCATTTGGATTTTCACATAGACGCCTGTTTGCTTCCATCCTTCGAGTAATAACATCTCCAACATTTCTATCAGGCTGAAATATGATTCAGGTGGTAAAGAAATAGCTCTTTTTTTAAATAATAGGCAGCTAATACAACGATCTTGCATGTATAAAAAAAGAAAAAATAGTCAAATCTTTTACATTTTGATCTTGCAGGGTCGATTCACCTGTAGAGGAATTCAGATTCTCGCTCAGAGATTTCGGATCAACACTATTACTCAATATCAGCGAAGGAGGCGGGGGCGGCGGTGGCAACGTTAACAACGACGATGGCGCACTGCTACAATGAGGCAACAATACTGGTGGCTTAGGAGGAGGAGGAAGCAGGAAACCACTAGTCGAACCTCCTGTCTTCTGAAAACGTATACGGAAGATATTTACAAAAAAAACTATATCACCAACAATACATTTCATCAGTAAAACTAAGGAAAATCATCAAACCAAGCAAGAAACTATCTAATTTACATTTTCTGGTTTTTTAAGCGTTACGGGGCTCTTTTTGTCACAATCCACTTCCTTCTTTACAGGGACCCATTCCTACAATTAAAGTAGGAATGATTTTCAAAGACTGAAACTTACACTGCAATAACCTACTGCAAACTTGGCTGTCTCTAATAACTTACAGTGTCCTTTTCCCGATGCTGTTTACCAGAAGAAACTGGAAAACATAAACGCAATTGACTTTCTTCCATCGTTCGCTGAAAAGTAGTTCAACGCAAGAGATACAGTCACGCAGATAATAGACGCACTAAGAAACAATAGGATTATATTTTTCATTCGTTATCACTACAGAGTAATGAATGAGAAATAAAAAAGTGACCTAGGCTTAAAAAAATTAAACATTTAGCTTTATCCTGCAAAACGTGATGCATCCTTACAACTTAATTAGAGCTCTAGTTCCCTGTTTATTCTGCTATACTAAAAAATAAATTTTATTAAATTTATTCTTCAACGGTTCCTCCCTTTCTTCGTCGAAAGACAGTAAGACTTTCCATTAAAAGAGCAATCGAAATGAAGATTATTTAACTAAAACTTTCCTTTTGCAAACTAAACAACTGTATGAGCAGAAAATAATGGAGAACGCA